GAAGTGCCGGGAGGGAGGATGGTTATCTGCACCACAGCTACAATCATTGGGAACAAAATCAGACCCTGCGTTCAACAGAATCAGAAGGTAATCATTTGATACTAGGTGAAATAGAATCAGACGTCTCACTGAAAGACCAATAGAGGCATGGCAAGACAGTGATGCTTAAAAAAGCTGGACGCCATTTTAAAAAAGGTTTGCAAAAAGCAATGTAGCAAGATACTATTCCCAGATGACATAAGCATGTATTTACAATTACACAAAGAAACAGATATTAACAGATAATTTTTTATCAGATTAACATTATTTTTGTTACTCTGTTAAAAGATTATCTATCTATCTATTATTTATTAATTAAATTGTTCATCCTCTGTGAGGGAAATGAGCTGTTTCAAAATTTGATAGCTAAACAAACAAACAAACAAGCAAACAAATACATGTTGCCATCTCACTTTGAAAAGCAACTCTGGGTGACTTCCAATTAAATATCATAAATGTAAAAAATATTTAAAAGCATGAAAGAGCCATGGTGGTGCAGTGGTTAGAATGCAGCATTGCAGGCTAATTCTGCTAACTACCGATTTCCAGCAGTTCAGGAGTTCGATCTTGACTGGCTCAAGGTTGACTCAGCCCTTCATCTTTCCAAGGTCAGTCAAATGAGGACCCAGATTGTTTAGGCCAATACGCTGAATCTGTAAACTGCTAAGAGAGGGCTGTAAAGCACTGTGAAGTAGTAGATAAGTCTAAGTGCTATTGCAATTGTTTTGAAACACAAAAGCAAGAAAATAAAAGGCAAGATCAGTATAAGGGTAGCCCCTTTCCAGTTAATTCACCAACTGCCTCCATTACTGAGCAAACCCAGGCTAATTGGCAGAGCCAGGTTTTAATGCCCTTTTGGAAGGCCAAAAGGGTGGCAGATCTTACCATAGGCATGGCAATATTCATAGAGTAGAGGCCATGGAAGAATAGATGCTCCTTCTAGATCTCACTGACTGAAATTCTTTGATGAGTGAGATCTGCAGCGTGCCCCTTCTGCCAGGCTGATGAGATAGACTGATCACATTGGAATGAAATGATTCTTCGGCTTTATGTTGTGAAGGATTTAGGCCATAATCAAGTTAAAATTATGTCAATTGTGTCACAAAATGTTGGAAGGGACTGAGTGATGGAACAACAAACCATTTCAAGCTACAGGATGAAAGCAGTCTGAATGTTTGGCTCCTTTAAAAAAAAAAAAAACCTAGAGAACTCATTTGCAAAGCTTACTTCAGTTCAGGTCATCCCATTGTACACATTGATTCACAAAAATGTACTGGTAACAAACAGTCACGCCCAAGGCTGGCAGATGCCTGGTTTGTGCAAATGCACACAAGTTCCAGAAAGCTTTACAAAGCAGTAAGTCTTGTGGGAGAGCTAGTCAGTTGGACTTTAGTCCAAAACAGCACAGGATTAGAGGTATAAATGTATCTACAAGAAAAATGCAGTAGCCAAGGAAACTGCCATTAATCAAGGAGTCCAAGAACCAAGGTTAAGATGCAAGCTGGCATCAAGGACATAGGAACAAGGAACCTAGGAACCCCAAGGTGGAGCTGTTCCACAAAAGAGGGCAGCTACTGGTGTCTGCTCTAATATAGTTTAACAACTGGTATAGTTCAGTTCAGTTAAAGGACTTCACAACTTTGCTTCCCAAGGACCAAACAGAGGAATTCTACTTAGCCCTCTGAAATTCCTGATGCTTCCTTGAGGTAATTGGTCAGCCAGGATCTGGACATCAGCTCTTTTTTATTTTTAGCCTACCTGGGAAGGTTGATTCTAGAAACTGGTTCATAAAGAAATGATTTTTGTAAAGCTTTCTAGGCTTGTAATGTGTGTTTGGAAGCAGCTAAATTAAAAATCTTTGGCTTTATGTTGTGATAGAATGATAGAATGTTGATAGAATGAATAAAATTCATTCTATCCCATTATAGATTTGTGGAGTGTGAGATTCCCAAGAACCAGAACAGATATTTTTTTTAAATCTGCTTTTTATCTGTCAAAAACCTGATCACATCCAGCTCTAATGTTATTTTCTCCTGAAATAATAATGTCCTTCTTATTGGTTGCTTTCTGAAACAAATCTTACCTGATGTTCTAAATCAGTTCGTTTTTTGCAAGTAAAAACTAAATAGTGGTAGGTTTCTCCTGCTGGAACTAAGTAAAAATATCATCTTTGAACTAAGGATCTGTGAATCAATAAGGCTGATAAATATGTTTTTCAAAAATTTCTATGGTCTACTTTTAATTACGCTTCTCTATGTAATATCTCTTCCACAAGTGGAAGATTTATTTTTTTTAAAAAAAATTAAAAATCCAATTTAACTAGTATTGACTTTTCTTCTAGACCATAAAGTGAAGGAGTTTCAAAATAAGTATATCAATTAAATTAGCAATGCAATTCACAGACTGTCAGTTTCCTTCATTGTAAATAAGAAAAAATGAGTAGCAAGAGAAGTTGTTTTCCACCTATTTTTTGTAAATGATGGATATTTTGTTAACAGGTGTCACAGGCACAGAGAACCAGAAAAAGTATTAGTGGGAAGGGAGTGATTGTTTGTTTGCATGTTTAATAAATACATGAACAGAAAGTTAAAAAGTCAGCTTTTTCTCCTGTAAGGTTGGCTTTTTAAGAGAAGAGATGGGATAGGCATGATCAAGAGACAAAGAATAATAATAAACCTGACTTGTTTTTTTTATAATGTATATACTTAATACGTGCAAGTAGCTTCTAGTGTAAAATATCTCCAAAATATGAAAAGTGATATGGATACTTGAAATCATTCATTCATTCTGCAGAACAAGATACTTAGAATTGATTGTATGCCAAGGCTTTCCATGTGCTTTTAAATAATTCAAAATAATTATTGTAAATCCTCTTTAGATTTACAATATATGCATGTGAAAAAATAGTAACAGGACCACACTGTTGGCCCATAGAAGCACAGTGATTTAAAATGGATTAAAGTGTTCTATATCTCCTGGAAATTCCATGCAACCGCCCACATAAAACTTTGGGTCAATAGGTACCCCACTTTATAGCTAAGCAAAAGGCAGACACTGGAACCAGTAGGAAGACAGCATGGCGTCCAGAGCACAGACAGTGATGCAGTTATTGTTCCTTTTTTTCATTTCTCCATCCTTTTTATATAAACATATACAAAGACAACAAGTAGAAATTTTACATTCCTGAGCCTTTTACATTCCCCCGCCCCCCAAATAAAAGTTTTCACTGTAGGAGAACACTCCTATGTTACTTCCCTTACTATGGAATAAAATTCAGTGAATGAAGGGCATTTACGCTAGAAAAGATAGAAATAAACTGTTAAGTGTTGACAAGTTTTTAACACTCTTAATTTAAGAGGCCAAAGTTGAATTTGATATCACAAAAGTGAAATTTGACTTGCATCATCAAACTTTCTGCTTCTACAAGCTCTGAATACACTCTTACCATCTGCTGTGAAGACTTGGGGGACCTTTGGGAGGGTACACTGTGGGTGTATAAAAGCTGTTCTTGTGGTTCTATAATACAACCATGGTGATGGATTTCACCCTTCTTTATCCATACAAATGAAGCTTACATTTTGTATTGCTCTGACTGGATAAATTAGTTACTTAGGTTAAACAGAATGATCAGTTGTACAACTTGTACAACTAATGATATGCCTTTTTAATTGCTTATGTTTTATTTTATTTTATTTCTCAACTGTTTAAAAATGTCCAATGGATGGAAAGGCTAGGTAAAATTATATACATCTGTATGTATGTGCACATGTGTGTGTGTATTGCATTTTGATAAAAAAAAAATGGCCTCTAGAAACTGAGACAACACTTTCAGTGGCTGCATGCAACAAAGGATACAACTGTAACACCAAAAGATGAGAAGCATATTTGTTCCTTTACTAAATAGAGCCCCAGCATATTCCTCCTCCGTGTAAAAAATCTTACATATAAAAAAATAAAAACTGATACTAGGGAGTGGATTGAACCCATTTTCTACTTTTTAGTAGTTAAAGGTGCACTTTCCCAACAATATCTGATTCTGGATTGTTTGTTTGCTTGCTTGTGTAAATCACACTGAATCTAACAGAACGATTGAAATGGCCTTTGTATGCAAAGTGATCTCACCTTCCTCAATTTTCATTTATCAACCCTGTGCCCTAATTGTCCTCAATATTCAACAACTGGAATTAATTTTGGCTTAATCTGTGTGATGTTTATGACCCTTACATGTTGGGAAATGAAAATGTTGTTTAATGATAGATGATATTTAAATCCACAATTAATTTAATGTTTCTTTCAGAAGGAAATATAGTTATGCTGGTAATCCATAGAAATTGCAGGAAATGAATGTTTTTATTTATACTTTGCTTTTAACGTTGCTAACAAAACCTCACAGTTCTGTTTAGGGCTTCTGACTACAGTTGTGTGCATGATTATCTATGTGCAAGCTCTGTTGAGTGAAATGGAACTTGTATGTAATACTTGCATACATAGTTCTTGTAAAACACTAAGAACTTCCCTTGTAGAATTGCAGTCTTTATCTTAAATCTGACATACCACTATAGGCATTAATAAATATTACTAGTGAAAATATTAGTATGAAGTGAAATGATATCAGTGAAAAAAAAGTCCTTTGGTTGCTTATTGTCCAAAGTTTCTGACTTTCTGTACTAATCTGATACAAACTTTTGTAAAACTTGAAAGCCATCTGCCGTATTCCAGAATAAGATGAATGAACCAATTTCTCTAGCCCTCCAGATAATTCTTTATTCCTGTTTCCAACACTTCTGAACTTTCATTGCCAACTATTTCTTTCACTGCTTATATTTATCTTGCTTCTAAAATCCTAGGTGAACTCAATTCTATATAATCCAAATGTGTTAATTGGTTTAAAAAAAAGAAGAAAAGCTGCATTTTATGGCTGTTTCTTGGCAAGTCTAAGTTCCCTTTGTTTGTCCTCCCAGGTGAACCATCACGATGGTCATCCTCACACTGTGACTGCTGTTGCAAAAATGGCAAAGGTGATAAAGAAGGCGAAAGTGGGACATCCTGCAATGAACTCTCCACCTCTAGCTGTGACAGCCAATCAGAAGCCAGCTCCCCTCAAGAGACTGTCATCTGTGGCCCAGTCACTCGCCAATCCAATATACAGACTCTGGATCGACCAATCAAGAAAGGTCCTGTGCAGCTCCTTCAGCAGTCTGAAATCCGGAGGAAAAGTGACCTGCTCCGAACTCTAACTTCTGGCTCTAGAGAATCCAACTCTAGCAAAAAAAAAGCAGCGAAAGAAAAGCTCTCAATTGAGGAAGAATTAGAAAAATGCATCCAGGATTTTCTCAAAATCAAAATCCCAGACAGGTTTCCAGAACGAAAACATCCCTGGCAATCTGAACTTTTACGAAAATATCATCTATAGGAATGGGGTTTCACCAAGGAAAATCACCTGTGCATCTTTAGAAATAGGATGAGGAGAAAGAATAATAATAACTTAATTCACACATAAAGAACCCATTGCTATGTCCTGCCTAATTTGCCTATTTCACCAAAGCAATTCTAGCTCCATGTAAATGAGATAAGAGGAATAACAATGCATTCATTTGTTAGGCTGTTAACATACATCAAATGCTTGCAGTGCCACCTGCACATTGAAATCAAATGCTAAATATCATTTACACTATGATTTATGGCAGCACCAATCTATTAGAGAGGTAAAACAAGGCAGAATCCTGGCAGGTGATGATTTTTTAAGCTGCATGCATTCCTGAAATCTTTTAAAAACATTATTTATCCATGGCCAGGATAGGCAGAGGCCAAGAATTCTGAAATTAAGAAATTGTCGTTCCAGTTTACACTAGGAGAGGCTATGTATACTTGTCTGTCTCTCTGACACTGTTTTTACCTTTTAACTGTGCTTTCTCTGAAAAATATTGACTACAATCCTTTGGCGGCCAATTTATCTTGGTCTGTTCTTTTTTGATGGCTGAATTGTTCTTTTGGATATTTTAATTTTTGTATGTATGAGAGCACTCTGTTGTTGCTACCTGGGGATACATCTGAATTTGCTTTGTCTGCATACCATGAACATCTCTGGCCATAGGCGTCTGTCAGCTTAAAAACATCTGAAAAAGCACAGGTGCAATCCAGCTGCAGGCAGGTGATCACAATTATGTTTCCTTGTTGAAAGTCATGCTCAGCCTTTGGTCCTTTGGAATAGGAATGGGGAGAACCAGACCAAATTGGATTTCTTTATAGTTAAGTAAAATCATGTAGAGTTAATATGGTGTTCCCTTCCTCAAGTATTTACTAATTTCCCTTTTTCTCACATTCAAAATTATCATTAAAGTTTAAAGGGACCACCTATGGCTTCTGCTGGATGCCTCTGCACTCAGTTGAAACCTGCATGCAGAAATTGAATATTTCTGTGCAATCATAATGAGTTTTTCCCTGTTTTTCCTTTAGCTGTTTTTCTACAAGCTCAGATCAAAATTGAAAAATTCAGAGAAATTTAAAACTCGGTTGGGATTCATTGGCGGGGGGGGGGCAATGGCTGAAAAGAAATTAGTGGGAATTCTAAATATATACAGATGTGATCTATGTGTTTTCTGAATTGCCAACTGGTTTTTGCTAGTCCCTGTCCTGTTTGTAATAGAAAGTGAATATGCATACAGAAATTAAGCAGGAGATCTTTTACCTCCTACCCATTGGCATATCAGGTAAAGATAAAAGAGTGGTACCCCTTGTGCCCAATGATTGTATTTTATTGGCGTGTTTCAGTGGCTAGCATTCCTATAAATTGTAGGCTCTTTTGGCTAGCTATGTTTTCCTTTCAACATAGGCTTCTCATATATTATATATATAAAGGTGATTTTTTTAAAAAAAATGAAAAAGAAGGCAGATTACTGAATAGGAGGACGTGGATTCTTTTCCTTCTCTTTCTGGAGCAAGAATCGAACAACTAAGTTTTGATTTGTATAAATTTGTCAGGCCTTGCAGTAAAAAAACAAAAACAAAACCCTAAACTGGGAAATGCGGGCTCTCAGTTCCCTTCAAAACAGATGCCATTAGAAGAAATCACATGCCTAACATTACAAGATGCATTTTGCATTGTGGTTTGCAGGAAATTGATTGTCTCAGTGACAGGCAACATAGCACTCTGGCTGCCTGCATCTGAAGATGAAATTAAAAATTGAAAAGAGTCCACATGCACTCAGCTAATGGAAACAGCCTGCTTGGCACTCTAGAAATTCCCTTGAAGGAGACAAAGTTCATTAATGAGCATCTTCTGCATCCAGAGCATTTAACGAAGGAGACAAAGATACTAATCATATTTCTTTTGTGGAAGTGGGTGTGATTTTAGGAAGGAACTCCCCTGTGAGAACAGGGTTGAAAGCTCAAATATTACACAGCTGACTCTCATCTAAGTACCAGATAAAGTAGAAATTTCTTCACGGAAATATAAAGGGTATCGTATGGCTACAAATAACTGTTATTTTGTCTGCTCATCAATAATTTTATGACATAAATACAGTTTTGAATAATAATACTGATAGGATAAGATACATATGAAGTCATTCTCTGCTTACACCAGTGAAATCAATCAAATTTAAATCGTCCCATGGAATTGAATAGATTTACTTTTAAGATCAGTTTGTTCTGGTAATTGTTGTTATTAGCTATTTTATCTCACATTTGTTTTTAAAAAAGCTTATACTATGAGGTAAGAATATGATAATATCCTATTCTGAGATAAACCAGTGAGTTTCATAGCTAGCGGGAATTACTTTCCACATTTTGGGGAAACCCCGTCTTGAGCTCTGTCATAAATTAAGTCCCTTCCTCTCCCTCTCTCCCTCCTCCTCCCCCTCACTCCCTCTCATTTCTTGTAATTTTGTGGAAGCACTCATATTAAGCAATATTTAGCATTAGCAACATTTTTAACAACATGTTAAAAAAGTTATATATTCATACCAGAGACATTGAATTTATATTGATTTAATTAACAGGGGGATACATGAATTAAATTAAGTCCAGGCATTCTGGAATCCACACACCCCTCTCAAATCTGTCTGGAAGCTCTAAGGCAGGGGCGTCCAACCTTGGCAACTTTAAGACTTGTGGACTTCAACTCCCAGAATTCCTCAGCCAGCAAAGCTGGCTGAGGAATTCTGGGAGTTGAAGTCCACAAGTCTTAAAGTTGCCAAGGTTGGACGCCCCTGCTCTAAGGTATATTATCATCTATACTTTGGACAATATCTTTCATCATATAATTTTTTTTTCTATGGAATGTCTACAATGCTAATTTAAACTATATAGGTTTATAAATTATTTTGAGCAGGGCTTAAGCCATGTCTTCTGGCTCTGTAAGTACAATTTTTCTTCCACAGTTTGGCAGGTAAATTATTGATGAAGGGAAGATTATGAGACAGTCTGAAAGGATAATTAGCTAGATCATACCTGCCTTTCACTCAACTATAGTCGCTTTTCTGTATATAGAATACAGCTATATTCCTATAGTTGATACATTAACCGTGGCAAACCACTGGAAACTAAATCCAATTGAATTCAGTGGATATGTTTGTCCAGGTAAAGTTCTAAAAGACAGTGCTGTTAAGAACAGCTGAATTAAACAGCTTTTCCTGTGAGCCTTCTCAACTTCTCTTGCACTACTGGGAGATGCACTCATGTGAATGCATACACAGACATACAAAGGTTTCAAAGTGGAAAAATCTTACCACGATTCAATACCAACAAGTTACATCTAAATATTATAGTAAAGACTATATTTCCTATCATTTGTAACATTCATGATTCTTCCATCTCCCTATATCCTTTGGTAAGCTAGGAGAAGAAGGCCACGCAAAGGGAGATTTGAATCTGGGTCTCATAATCTAATACTATTATCCAAAGATGGCCACATTGCTGATCTTGGATGTTGCTGATTTAAGGCTGTCAGCATTCTCTGTTGTTAGCTATCCTGGAGGGCTATTGAGGACTGTAGTTCTACAATACTGCTATTTCTTCAATAGTGAATTATACTATCTACATTGGATCACTCACCATTGTTGAAATGATGTTCTCATTATTGTTTTTATTGTTTTTGTTGGTGTTATTTTGGTTGAAGGTCTTTACATGCTTATCTGCAACTTGCAGGGGTCTGCATCATTGGGAGATTCTATTATATGACCCTGCCCAATAAAGGAAGGAGTTAAGCTAAACTAATGTTAGCATTTATTGGCCATGACTAATAGAGTAACATTAGAATAAAAGGCATGCCAAGAAAGTTTGTCTTGATATCAATATGATAGGAAAAAAATGCATCATAACATACCTTTTAAGGTCATTTTTAAAGAATGCAGTTTATGTATTATCAGAGAAGAAAGAATGCAATCATTGTATAACAATACAGGAAAAATTCAGATGTGCAATCTGTGCACACACACACACATTTCCTTGTAAACTCATCAGGTTATAAAACTAAAAAAAATACATTTAAAATATAAAGTTATTAAAATTTAAACTGGAAATGGGAGCAATCAGAAAACTAAAACCATTAGTATTGGTATTTACTATTTGGGATGGGGAAATAAGTGAAATAGATAAATGAAATGCTATGTTTTCAAAAGCTTATATTCCACATCCACATCTCCCATTGTGGACTCAAAGTGGCTCACAAAATCAATACCAACATAAACAGCAAGCAAGAATAAGAAATAAATTGCTTAAAAATAAGCATATGGAAGTCCTGAAAGCTATGCAAAGAAATCAATAAAAGGTTAGTTTGCAAATGGAAAGAGGGCAGTTGAATTGTCCCAAAACAGTAGCCATGAACAAGTGCCCAAAACTTTTAGTAACAAACTGAGATTTGACATCTACATAGTCACGTTTCATATTTGTCTCATTAATATTTGAGCTTAAGAGGTCATTAAGAAGTTTGGACTGGGGAGGGGCAGTATTGGATTTCCCCCTCTAATTAATCTTGGCTGCTGGGATATAAGGTCAAAGTAGCAAACTGTGCCCTTGTCTTAATGATCAATGCTCAAACCCACAGGAACCCATTTCTAATGAAGTCTATAAACAAGTCTTATAATGGAATAAATCTAATTGACTGCTATGGGGTTTGGACCTATCCACAGGCATTTAGGCACACTTAGACTCACCTGGTCTAAAGCATTTTTCTAAAAGAGCAGTCTCCGTAAAGCGCAAGTCTGCTACACTCCTACTGTCACTGCCCTCTATACAAACAACAATAACAATAATAATAATAGGTCATTAGAGAGAATCAGTTCTTAAAGCCCAAACTCCACGAAAGAACTATCATTGAGGCAATTAACAGCTGGGCAATTTTAACCATTAGATACAGAGCTGGACTAGAGGATTGGAGTCAAACACAACTAAAAGTCCTGAATACAAAGACCA